CATCGCGGTTCTGAATAAATTGTTCTACTTTCTTTCTGGTTGTAATAGAGAGGTGAAGTCCCGCCCATCTACTTCCGCCCCAGGGAACCTTATATCGGAAAAATTATGTATTGAAGTCAATGGAGAGAGAGATTACATTTCGATCCCGTTTGAATTGTGTCCACGAATTACACATATGATGTTTGTCAATTTAAAAAATCATTTCCATTTCAAAAAAGTCACAGTTTGTCGTAAAACTGTTGAAATATAAGACTATGAAAAATACGCAACTAGAAAGACTACAAATCCCAGAGTCCCGGTCCCGCATGCTGGCTCTTAGGAACCGACTAACTCCCCTTGTGTGTGTGTACAGCTCTCAACGTGCCCAGACTTGGAGTGATTTTCACCTCTTTTAATACTTTCCGCCTCATTCTGAAAGAAAGAAGTGAAATGTGCCAACGTGACGGCCGTCTGGGTGTGTGGTGCGAGACGGGAGATGTAGTTCATTGAGCGGTTTCACACAAAACAAAGTGTAACTTCAAAGTTTTACGACACATTTTAATTTTTTTGACTTGCAAAATTATCTTTTAAATTGACAAACATCATATGTGTAATTCGTGGCACAATTCAAACGGGATCGAAAAGATAATCTTTCTCTCTCCATTGACTTCAATTCATACTTTTTCCAAAATAAGGTCCCATGGAGCTCCCCCGGAAAGGGAGGGACTTCGCCTCTCTATAAGGTGACATCATGATGTGACAAATCCACTGGCTCCAAACTCCACCAAGTCCTTTCAAATGCTAAATTGAAAAGTCAATAATGCCTTGAATGGAGTGGTCTTTAATTGAGCCGGGCAGCAGTGAAGTCAGCCAGAGAGGGCATGAATCTCCAGGGAACACATTACACTGGCTTGCTTTAGCGTGACTCATATTCTGTCTCAGTGGGGAGCAGAGGCTGCCTGTCAGTGACAAGTTATGCCTCGCTCTAATGAAACAGTTGTTCTCATGTCACAATCAGAACAGGAATTTCTTGAAAAGCAGTGCACCTACCTACAGCAAAAAACTCAGCAATAGGTTTGGCCTTGATTCGGTTTTACGAAGATACACAAGTTCACAAATGGACCCACTGAAACTTGTATCTAAGAGGCTTTCCCTTTAACTTCCTATTTGTGAAAGGGGGTTCAAGTAGGGCTGCTTGATTATGGCAAAAATTATAATCTCGATTATTTGGGTCAATAATTGATATCAGGATTATTAAAAACGATTATCCATTTACTTTGAAAACATCAATTTGTTGGAGAAAAAATTGGAACACCATGTTTTTAACAGTTGAATACTCTGAACTTTGAGTATATTTCAACTGAAAAATCATTCAAAAAAAAAAAACTGAAAAAAAAAAAAAAAGTAATAATAAAAAAAAAATCGTTTTATTTCGATGACGTTGTTTTCGTAATCGTTGCAAGCCATAATCGTAATTGCGATTAAAATACGATTAATTGAGCAGCCCTAGGTTCAAGGGTACAACAGTGTCAAAGATGAAGGAAGGACTCTCAGTGGTAGTTGCAGTCATACTTCCACTACTGTCATTGAGTATCTTTTTTACTTTCCTTCTTGCTTACAAACTTTTTTCCTAGATGCCATGGGGAGTTCCAGCACAACTTGAACTCCTCCAAAAGGTGCATGGAGAATAGAAAAAGTATACAGAACATCCTCGAGGCTTCGGACAAAATGCATCGGTCTAAAATGTATGTTTTATTCTGTATCTGCTGATTGTGGTCAGCTCTGCTGTCCTGCTAAATATGAGGCGGCACATGTATGTGTGTACGTAAATATGTACATGCATACTGTGTGCTGTGTTATCTTTCCGTACAAAATATGTATTGTTTAATTAACAATAAAGTCATTTTTGTTCTTAATGAAGCTGTGCTACTCCAGGATCTTCCCACATACGCCCAGGCAACTGCTGCAGTGCACTCTGGGGTTCAGTATCACGCTGCCGGGGATCTGCCAGTGCAACATGAGTGACATACCTTCTATAAGCGCCATAAGCCAAAAAAGCAGCAGCGGCATACCGACAGCCGACCGCTAAGAAGCTCTGTAGGATGCCATCAGTGTGGGTTGCATCGCGGCAGCCCAGACACACATTTAAGTTATTTAGAAATGTCTCCAATTATTCTGCAAACTGAGCTCTCTGTGTTTGGAGTGCTACAAATATTGTTTAACTAACGTCACATAGTCCGACAGCATTCTTCTCTAAAAGGAATGACACCTGTACTGCAGGAATGCTGATCCATCAGAGCACTTATACAAACGCTGTGGGTATAAAAACATGCCACGGCTTTGTCAGATCAACTGTTAACAGTGTTTCGATAGCAGAGGACAAAGACAGGATGGAGGGTTTCTGACGGTATGCTCTGCCCCGTGGAGCGATGGTCTCTAAACCTAATTTGAAGCCTGTCTCCATGGCAGACGTCTCCATGGCCATCATTTAATTACTCTGCACAATAAAACTCCACATCAAGGGCCTGTGTTTAACGGGAAGGAGAGAGAGGCAGTCTGAAGTGGTGTCAGCTCCTGCTGCTTGTGCCCCCCCCCCCGCCCGCCAGCTGCAGGGCGGCTGCCAAGCTGCTCCAGGGTTTCCCAGAGAGCAAGGCATGCCACACGGGCATTAACCGTTACACTGGGACGCTGTTTGAACAGGGGGGCATGATGAGAGGGTGCAAACATGTGTCTGTGTAGACTTGTGTTTGAGACTGAAAACCAGGATTACAAAATGAAACAAAAAGGATTTAAACACCATTCCTTTTATCAGGCTCGTTCTTGCTTGTGAATGGGAAAAGGACTGCATTGAGAAAGAGTTTTTACAGCGTTTATGATTCCTCAAAGCGGTTTGGAATGTTATAAATTGTCCAAAAACGTGTATAATGTCTCAACACTTAAATAGGTTACTTGTTAAGTCTTTATATTGACGGCCTTTTTTTACAACACTACATTTCCCCGCTGCGGGACTCATAAAGGAATTCTGATTCAGATTATATTTACACGTCAGGATTCACCCAAAGAGGTGTAGGCGCAATCTGCTAAGGAGACTTACATTCACACACCATCGGGAACTATTTGGGGATAAGTATCTTGCCCAAGGATACATCGACATCGAGCTGGGAATCACACCACCGATCTTCCGATTGTTAGACAACGCTCTCCCTCACAAACCTGTCAAACATTCCCCTTCATGCTGTAAGTTTCTTATAGCCTCAAACACTCTTAAAGGCTTATCCAGAGCCATAAACACTCCTTAACGAACAAAACAATACAGATGCAGCGGGTGCATTGTGCGCTCTTCCTCTCCGTGGTGGCCTCCTCTTCGTGCTCCTCTCACTAGTTAATTGCAGCTCTGCCACATGGCTGCCTGCGGGGCTGTTATTACCTCTGCCCTGTCATTAGTTACCGAGTTAAAGCCGGAAAGGAGCTGCAGCTCACATGGGACACAATGAAGATCGGTGTTGTCACTATCCCTGCAATCACTAGCAGCAGCTCTGCCTGCTGTCATCGTGAGGGGACGCCTGCTAAGAGCTCTGGACCCTCTGATTATGACTTTAAGGACGAGCGTTCGCAAACTGTGACCGAATACAGCGCTGCAGGAAGTGTAAAAAGATTGAGATTGATAGGCAGGAGTCAAGGGGAAGTGTGTGAAAGACAAATGCACTTACCTCCGAGCAGCTTCATGACCAGCCACAGCTCATCCTTCACCACAAAGGAGGTGTAGTAAGACACAATGTTGGGGTGGTGGCACTGGCTCATGGCCTGGATCTCTTTCTGTAGGAGGAAATAAAAAAGAGAGACAGAAACCAATCAGACTGTTTATTGTACTTATAAGAGCTGGTGGAAATGGGTTAAAGACTTAGGGTGCGTTCAGGCCTGCCTTGTATAGTCCGGTTGAATCGAACCCTGGTGCGTTTAGCCGCTTGGTGCGGTTCGTTTGGGTCGGTGTGAACACAGTCCGAGACCTCTGAAGTGAACTAAACAACCGGACTCTGGTCTGCTAAAAGAGGTGATCTCGGAGCGCTTGCTTGCGAACTCTGGAGCGGTTCATCACTGGTGTGAACGCAGTCCGCACCAAAACATAGGAAGCGTAGTATTTACGTGTCACAAGAACGCGGATATCTTTAGCGAAAGAGTCTTTGAAGACATCCGTGGTTGTTTAGTTAAAGAGTGAAGCAGAATGAAGTGTTGAACAGTGTCGTGTGAAGTAAAAATTCTCCGTCAGCTAGATAAAAGTCAGAACACCTGTTGTCGGTGAAACGCCTCTCCTGACTGCAGAACGTCTCATTATATGTGTTATAATGTTTTTTAACGGACGTTGTCTGATTATATAATCATATGCGCGGGCCGCTAGTGTCTGTTGATCTCCAGATTAACAGCAGCATGAGAATGACCTGCCGATGCTCCATGGCGGAGGCTCCGGTAGAAATTGCCA